TATACCACAGAAAACCATCAACCAAACCTAATTACTATTCTATACCACAGAGAACCATCAACCAAACCTATTTACTATTATATACCACAGAAAACAATCAACCAAACCTATTTACTATTATATACCACAGAGAACCATTAATCAAACCTATTTACTATTATATACAACAGAGAACCATCAAGCAAACCTATTTACTATTACATACTACAGAGAACCATCAACCAAACCTATTTACTATTATATACCACAAAGAACCATCAACCAAACCTATTTACTATTATATACCACAGAGAACCATCAACTAAACCTATACTATTATATACCACAGAGAACCATAAACCAAACCTATTTACTATTATATAGCAAAAAACCCATCAACCAAACCTATTTACTATTATATACCACAGAGAACCATTAACCAAACCTATTTACTCAGTCTACATGTATAACAATAAAGTCATGAAATGTGAAAGATATACACAAAATATAGTGTAAGAATCCCACTTACACATCATCAAGTCGATTTAATGGAATACGGCTTGCATGCATACCCATCATACCCGAGAGTATAAATCCTCCTAGTCGCCTGATGTTAGCTTGTGTCCAGCCTGTGATAGGACCAAAGAATCCGGCATCTATGGGCAGCTCACAAACTTCAAGTAGAGCTCGTCTAGCACCCATACTTAACGCTTCAAAGCCTGGAGCTTGTGCCTGCATTTCTTCTACTCCAGCTTGGCTTACCTCATCATATGCAGTCTCCATTTCACGTTCAGAAATGTTACGATGGAGGTTTTGTCGATGCTGCAATATTACAAGTAGACCATGTGTTATGAACCTATTTTCAAAACTATATAAACAATAAACTACTTGTGAATGGCTATTGGAAGGTCTGAAGAAGAAACTTGTGGTGTTGATTTAGTTTTTGAATTATAAACATCTATACACCTTTAATTCCTATATTTTGCACCCTCTAGTGACACAGCACTTTTCAAATTGTTGATATCATTTTGATGTAGTCTTCCATCGATGAAGATTATGTCATTGAAAGATTTTAATATATTCCAGATGACATTGCCTCATTTATTAATGTCATTCTGACATCACAGAACCGCGACATCACTAGATTTGTACAAATGGTGTATTGCATGTACTTTGACCAATTTTTAATTGAAAATGGCCATCAGGGTATTGTTACCATGGGAACAAGTTCGGCTACCCCACTTTTATTTACACCTAAATATAAATAATTTGTAGTTCTTTTACAGTTTCTGCATATTTACTATTACCTGTGTCTAACATCTGACATACCTGAGCAGTAGCAATACATAGGTCCAAAAGCCCTGTATCAGGGGCCAGTATTAATGCACCATTGTTGACACCAGCGAGAATGAACACAATTCTTTTAATAGCTCTTCCGTCACGTAATTGTGAGTTTGCAATCAATGTATGGGCTTGGCTAGCAGTTAACGTCTCAATAGTGGTAGCCTAGGAACAAGAAAACACAGGTTTAGCAAACATAACATATAAAGACAACTTTTTAACATCTGGTGATGGTAAATCTGTGTTAGCTATTAACGATGCGATATTTGCCAGCATTCAACCTCTCAACAGTGGCCTTAAACAAGCTACAAATATACAAAACAACTCAAAGTACTCTCATATGATGGTTATGCATATTAGGTAATTAATATTTGGATTTTCAGCCAAAAACCAAAAATCAGGTCTGTATGCATACAGTCCCAGACTGCATTGAGTGTTACTATTTGAAAGCAGAAAACAAGAAATGGCAAACATCTTATATACATCATAAAGTAATTTTTATTAATTCATTTTGAGATTTTTAGAAAATTTTGAAAAAAAGTTGTTCGAAAAGGGACGAGTAGTTACTAGTTATATGAGAAGAACTTTACTTGAATTAGCAGTTGGGTAATTTTCTAGCGTTTTTAGATGAACTCCTATTCCAATTTATTGTGTTTGTTGAAAATAAAGAACTGAATAGTCTTTACTTTGCATGTATGATACTTACCGGAGCCAGAAGTAACAACGTTGGAGAAATAAGTTGCAATTGTGCAGGTGTTAAAGATGAGAGATCTTCATTGGTGAAAGCAGCCGCTACAACATTATTGATTGCCTGCAGAGCCGCTAAAGCCTCTTCATAGCTTTAAGAAAAAAATATATGGATTCTGATTAATAAAAATTCATGTTCACTGGTGTATTGTTACCTATATTTATTGAAAGCACATATGATACATGAAATCCCTAAGTCATAAAACCGAACGCAATAGTTACAATTATCACAAATTATATCTGGATCTAAATTTTCATATTCTGTATTTCTCATTTTTGTTGCACATTGTGTTCTAAGAGTTTATTTGTATCCTTGAGGGTGGAGCTACGTCACAAGACATTCCACTTTACTAAGACGCTGTGGAAATGGTGAAAATAGCTCAATTTGAGAAAATAATACAAACTCAACTTTGAAGTAATCCTAAACAACCTAATTTATATATGTTACACATGCAGGGGTAATCTTTTTACACTATTCAGGGGAGCCTCAACAACCATCCAAAGTACGGTTTTCTGAGAGTTTTCGGCCTTTGTTTTCACCGTGATGGTTGCCAGGCGGTGAAAATGCCCAGATGTCCACCCCCGAGAATAGCTTAGCCATAGCTTTCAATTCTTTTCTTTTTTATGCAATGTATTCATTCTCACCCAATAAGTGAGTATAATAAAATAAGATAAATAGTGAACCACAAGCATTTACATTTTCAATTTACAGTATATTAGGGCATTATCATGTCACCATATTGCAATTACCTTACTTTTTGATCAACGATTTGGAGATGGCTTTATTTAAATGTTAGTAAGATCAAAATTGTATGTGCATTGGCAATTAATTGTTTGATCCACATTAAATTCTAAATTTGTTCCTTGGATACATGTATTAGTTTCCTCTCGTCATAACTTATATGATGACTTGTTATACTTTTGTTAATTTTTGCAGCATCCAAGCAAACTGTGAACTTCGAATATTATGTGCTTCCAATATTGGTTGTGTATATTTAGTGAACACCTGAAGCAGAATTTGAAACAGCAATGCATGATGGGCAATTAGATTTATAATTTGTGAACACTGTATGTAACTAATGGCTCAATTCATAAAGGCTTCCAATAAAATACAGAAAACAACACTGTACACCTTTAATGTTAAATCCATTTGATAACGACCCACTATCAGATCGTAGACCCTGTAATATAGGGTCAATGATCAAATACAGAGTAATTATTAAAGCTAATTAGCTTTTTCTTTTTTTAAATTTACCAGATGTTATTTATATATTTGCTTCAACCTGCTGAAATAATCAAACATAAATTTAATCCAGACATACTTGTTGGAATAAGACATTGAATTGCTCAGGTGAATACAACACTGTGTGATCAATCTGCAAGCAAAACTTAGAATGCTGAAAGTGAAAAAGTATCATGCTGAGATAGTTATGTGCAATGCAAGTGCAACTCAAATCTTTTAATTATTGAAATATTGTAATTACACATTTTTTTTGATATCTTAATATTCACATGCAAATATAAACTTGAAAAGATTATCACTAGATTGTTGTCATGGATATCAAACTTTTTATTTATAACCCTTTGAGCGCCAAAGTCAACTTCACACACCATCCACAAAGTAGTTCCGTTTATAGTCAAATTGAAATGTTCCGAAAATTTCATTTTTTTTGATTAAAAACTAGAAGCAATGCCACATTTTGTCTGTCCAAAATGAAGATTGAATCCAATGAAAATTAAAGAAAATGGAAACAAAAATGTTGGTGCTCAATGGGGTTTAAATTTATTTATTCATTTAATTTATTGCAACCCTTTTAAATCAGGGACTCACGCCTTTCAAACTCAGAAATTCTTCATACCGGGAACTTCAAACATCAAGTAGCAATGAGTTTCTCTCTCATGGTTTACATAATTAAAAGTAAATACAAATGTTTTCACCATACCGTATTTGTTCATTAGTAGCACATTTTTAATGTACCCACATACAACAAAATGCTTCTAATAGAACAAATACGGTAATATAGTAGGCAAGTTTTAGCAGAGACTCTAGTCCATGGTTTCAGGAAAAATGTTGCAAAATAAATGTAGCATCATTAGCATATGAAGAATTTCATCAAGTTTACAAACAATTGTTATAAAATTATTAATCAAAATAGTATAATAATTTACAGCATTTCAAAATGTTTTGATGAAAAAAAAACACACACATAAAACATGCCATTCAATGCAGTGCCTAATGGAGAAAATGTTAAAATTAAATCCTCTGTAGCCATGGCAACCAAACAAACCTTTCTCCAGAAGTTGGTCTCCCACTTCCTTCTGGCCTTCCTGGCCTGAGATGAATCAAAGAAAGATATTTTCATGATTCAAAATGAATTTTCAATAAAAAACATTATACATCTTCCATCGTATCTACATGCATGCTATTTTAATACTGTGTGATTTTGCGGTATTGCACAAAAATATATTGCTTTGTAAATATTGCTTATTTGTCAGTGATTTATATTTAACTCAACATCTTTGGTGTATCTTATCTGCATAAATCAGCAATAGTTGTTATTTCTAACATTTTTGGTTTAAATATAACCACATAAAGATGACCTAATCTTACCAAAATATTGTTTTTAGACACAATTGCAAGGTGAACCTACACAAGGCTAATGTCACATGAAATGCAATGTGTAAACTAAGAGTCGAGCATTGAAAATAAATAATAAAAAAGAAAAACTAAACTAAGAGTCGAGTAGTCGCTATTTCATTGAAATCGGTCATGTGATAGGAACCGTAAAAAATTGTGATACATCACACATACTACTATGGGAAAAAACACATAATATCTTCAGAGAGAGGCTTAATTAGCCCTTCAAGATGGCAATGTATTGGATATTTCGCCAAGGCTCTTGATAAAGTTGTCATCTTATACCGTTATACCTGAGGTTCAGTTGACAAAACTGGATTTCAATTAATGGCATCCTGTGGAGACCCAAACAAAACCCAGCAGCCATCTTTTTTTTAACTTGCAAGTGATTTAATCTACAATGTCGCTATATAGCGTATATGTCATGCTTACAGAATCCACATTTCGCCATTGGCCATTACAAATGGACATGAATGACACATGAAATGTTTTGTTAAAAATTGGAAAAAAAATCTTGATAGTTACAGCTATGTTTGTTTAAATTTAAAATTGTCTCTCTACATCATAGATTATGTGATGGACCTACAAACCCCAGGCAGAACAGCTAGCTAAGAAGGGTAAGAAACCTTTTGTCTTTGCTGATCATTCGTTTGTCGTCCCTATTCTATTTGAAGTCGTTATTGCAGGTGTCAGAAAATGACAGTTTCTTCGTGTGCAAGAAAATAAATTTATAAATAAAACACATAAAATTAACATCACCTGGTTCATGATGATTTACCTGGCCAGAAACGTAAACAGATCAATTGGCTTGTTGATTCACAGACATTTTCACTAATTTATTAAGATTGATCATACAATTAAAATTGTGTTCATTATTGATTCAACAGTTCAGAGACTTGAATATGGTCTAGTTGGTGTCATACAATACAGTTGTGCTTTACATTGGTTATTTTTTTCATTTTATTTTTTATTTTAATCACTGTATATCCATCATTTTCACAAGCTCAAATTCCTAAAATGAATCACTATTTGGACATATTCTAGTATTTTACTCAAATGCAGTAAATATCGAAAATTCTCATGGTAAATAAAAAGAATAAAAAAGACACTACTCATACTGGGGTTTGTAGGATCATGATTGTATAGTATGATATATAACCCCAGTAAGGTAACACAACTTGTTGAGATTTCTAAAATCGATATTAGTGTATTATTATAATGTTATTATATTATCTCTGATGCATATAGACATTAACATAAGTTTTTGTTTCTAAATAACTGAAAGCAAACCCCCTGAATGGAAACTGTTCTACCCATCTGTTGTGCATTGATCAAAGTGACATCTGTCTATTTTTTAGTTCTAAATTACACAGTGCTGTTTCAAAAAAAAATTATTGAGATACTGTAAACTGTATGTTGTTTACTGCTACACATTTTTGCTATTTCAGTATTTTAAAAAATGATCACAAAATTACTCGAAAGTCGATAACTTGGAAAATTTGCGAAAATTCGTCTCTTGCAAAATGAAACTGGTTTAACAGTAGTTGATTGTATACATGTCAACTATGAAAGTTTCTATTACACCTAATATGCAAAGGTACATGTAAAATAGTAAACTAGCACGCTTCTAAAGCGTGGATAAAGTTGACAAACGGGTACTGTAAAATGCTTTATTTTCGCTTGGAATTAATTTTTGCTATTTTTGCTGAAGGAATAATTCAGTGAAAATAAAATCCAGCGAATACACCTTTTTTCTTATATTTTAAATTCAACTCATCAAAAATAAGTGAAAATAAATTCCATACAAAACACCAAAAAAGGCTTTTCAGCGAAAATTAATTCCAGCTGAAATAAACCCGATTTGACAGGTAAATGATTGATATCCCTGATAAAGTTTCAGTTGTGTAAAGTAAATCTGATTATAAAATCATCATAAATCATATCTGTTGCATACAGTCAATTGGGTATTTTTGATATCACACCCCTGTCATCCAATAGGCTATTGATGATCCGATTGGTGGATGCCTGCAATTTGAAATAGCAACCCTAAAACATGGTTTCAATGGATGATTTTGCGATCCTTGTTTAAAATAACTGTTTATAATATGATAAATAGTAATGTTTCCATTATACCAGTAATTTCTGTCATTCACAATATTGATTGTTAAAATCACATATACTTTAATTCAAGCACAATTCTGTATATTATTTTGAACCAAAAAATGACAGAACAGAAATCAAAAATTTACAAGCAAGAATATACAGAGTCAAAATTGCATCCATATTAAAATAATCAGCTATCAGATACATAAACAATACGTGATGTGGAGATGTGTTTACAAAAAAACATGTCATATGATGTATTAACAACGGTGTTAATTGTAAACAAATTATTATTATTATTACCTTGGACCATCAAGAGGGGCATTGGGGTTAGCTCCTGTAAAATCATCCAGAGCTTGCTGAGGATCATTGAAGGATCCACCACCACCAGTACTACCACCTGTACCACCAGTACTACCACCAGTACTACCATCGTTTTGTCGCTTAACCAAACCTGAAAATTGAATTATATCACAAAAGGAGTACATTAGTACCAGTTGAACCATAAATCATATTGCATTTACTATTTTTATTATATATAATTGTGATATTCACATACTTAATTGAGAAATTTAAATTTACTATGAAACAGAGTATAATGTTTTCTTTCAGTCTGTTATGAACAGACAAGTGACCACAGCCAAGGGTTTCATCCAACCAATAAAACTGGATGTTATTAATAAATATGTCTATTAAAGTGTTCTACTAAATGTGTGGTCATAATGACACAACAAATAATCAGATAATAATGGCACAGAGGAAATAGTCCTGGCAGTGATAATAGTAGGCTTCAATTTATTTTTTTATTGTTGTTCCTATTTATTAATATTTGATTTATTACCTTGCTGTTGTTAATTTTTTAATAAGATTCAATTATATATAAAAAATAACTTAAAAATGGCAAGTGAAACTAAACAAATATTCATAAATAAACAAAAGTAATATTACAAAATATGAAAAAAAAAAAAAAAATTGGAGCTCATAATTAAATCAGATTTCAATCAGATTGACCAACTACTACCGGTATAACACCACTAACAACACAATTCACAAATCTTCGCTATATATTAATCACAAACTGAATAGTCAGTGTTCTGCAAATAAAAAAACAAATTGACCAACAAATACAAATTACATGCTATGAAAAATTCATTTGATGCAAATGATCGAATTCTCAGAGCAACAGGTAAGAGAATGTTACACAGAATAGTGAACTTAAAATCAATGAACTATTCAGCTTCTGAAAGCTAACATATACTCTATCAGTTTTTTAACCTCAGTCTATGTAGGTCAACGCATTAAAGGGCATTGAATTCCTGTTTTATTTGTACCAGAACCTACACGTTTTTTTTCACTACAGTTATCACAATGTTTATGCATTGGGTTAGCACACCCCAACACAAATAAAGATATTCTTTAACAAAGATGACATTCTATAACAAATAAAACCAGCCCATGTAGCATGTGAATGTTATTTTCTGTTGTTATGACAACACATGGTTGGCAAGGTAACAATTGTCAAGATAATGAGACCAAACACAGTGGCATGCTCGTTACATTGAATGAAAAGAATTTATATTAGCAAAATTTATGCTTTATAATTAATTATTTGAGTGAAGCTTTGGGGGTGGGTCAACCAAATTGATTAGGATAATTTATTTAATGGATTATTAATAATTATACCCCGGTAAATATAAAAACTTTAGTAATAATTAAAGAATTCATCTCAGGCATTTTACTGGATTAAGCTGAAATATTAACAGAGAAATATATTCACTGGATTTAAAGTTAACATATTTAATGATTCATCACCTGCTGATTACATTTTTTTCTCATTCACTTTCGCTATCCATAGAAACTTTCAGCAAGTGTAGTGTTAATTTGGAGGATTTAGCTAAAGTGAAATACTGTAAAATACTTTATTTTAAGCTGGAATTAATTTTCACTGAAAATACTTTATGAGTGTTTTTGAAGAGTTGAACGTAAAGTATAGGAAAAAATCATTCCTTCAACGAAAATAGCGAAAATTTATTATTTAATTAATTAATAATATAGTATTTTACAGTACCGGTAAGTGAAATTAGTTCCAAGCTAATTACTTATTGCTATTTTTTATGCGGTCTAGAAATTTGCAATTTCCTGTACGCAACAATGTAAGACAAGATACTCTGCTTCCACTAACCCTTTACCAGAGCGTGACTAATTGTAAAATACATGTAGCATATGACAACAAATTAGGTCACTTTAGCCATCATGGCTAAGATAAATTTGAAACGATGAATTATTAATCTCAAAAGTGAAACAAACATCAAGTAAACACATTGTTATACACTTTCTCCTGACTCCATTCTCCTGATTCGGTTCAGCATTTTGTAAGTTTTTTCGTGTTTTTTTATAATTTCTTTGTTGATTTTAGACCAAACTTATGCAATTTGATGCACTGCAAAATGATACATACTGTTTTGGAGTTGATGAACACAAAGTAATATTGACCAGAAACTCAACTAAAGTTGAGTCCGGCACACACCCGACATGTAGGCGCGAGTAGGCGGGCCGAACGACATCAAACACCTGACATATCGGCAAGATCAATATGTGAATTTGCAAAGTTCACGCTTTCTTGCAATGAATAGGGGTTTTTCTAGTAAAAAATAACAAGA